GACAAAGAAACTTGGAGAGATGACTTATGAAGGGGAACTAACTGAAAATGAGATATCACCCCCACTCTCCCAAAAAGGAATGGCACGTAGAATTAGAACAGTCTACACCCGTGGACTTAAATAAAGTTTTCGGTTCGGTATTACAACTATTATCACCTGAAGAAAGCCGGAGCGTACAGCAGCCGAAACGTCGTGAATATGGCAATAAAGATGAGGACAACAGTCCGAACGGTGAAAATAGTTACAATACCTCATCTCAGAAATATAAACAGAACCTGAAGGAGGCCGGAGTGTACAACGACCGAAACGTGGTGAATATGGCAATAAAGATGAGGAAAACAGTTTGAATGATGTCAGTACTGTAAATAATTACAATATCTCAGAAATATATAAAGAATAGTTAATAAAGCTGTTTACCTATCTGTTATGGTAATTTACCCACGCACGCATGGACTCTATAAATAGGAGAAGGTACTGCCTTTTGGAGAGGGAAGTTTCCAGCAGTCAGCTCTGACAGTTAGACCAAACATTCTTGCTGTAACACTCTCGTTTGTATATGTTTGTATTACTGTTTTTCTGTTAATATATTTGTTTAACTCAATTCATCTCTTGTGTCTTTATTTCTGGCCCTAACAAGGCCACAACACTATCTTTATTTAGCGCTTATTTAAAAAAATAATAATAAAGTGAGCACATTGGAAAAATTCGCACTCTCTTAATATTTGTTTGTTAGAGTCAGTTTCATCTTACCAAAGGATCAGTAGTTTTTTTTTTTTTTTTTTGCAATTTTACTCAAGGTTGATCTCATTTAAGCGCACCAGTCGAGCATGACGCTGTACATTTAAACAACTTTTGACGTGGAGTCGGACCGAAGCCACAGTTGGCTTGTTCAGACGGCAGCTGTAAAGGCGTCTTGGGAAGCAGGGAAAGAGGCGGGATTATGGAATCGTACCCCAAGGAATAAAATGAAGATGGGAGTTCAGGAACTGAGAAAAGTGTTTTAAAAAGCCACAGAATCAAGTAAAACGAGAACAGAACACATATATCTATCTGTCTGTCTCTCGATAGACACACACACACACACACAAACACACATATATATATATATATATATATATATATATATATATATATATATATATATATATATAACTAAAATAAATCCTAATGATCCAGTAAAAACCTACCTGGACGAATTATTTCATATTATATGCATTAAGTCCGAGAATTATGAAATATATTTTCTCTTTATACGTTATGTTTCTCCTCTGTGTCGTGTTTCTTTCTCTGACTGACATTTCGGCGTGGTGTAATGGTTAGCAAACTTGTCTCGCTAGATCAGTTATCAGTTACGACTGAAAAGTGAGTTCGATCCTCCCTAGGTGCTCCTTTCTTTCGGCCTTGTGCCACATCTAAGCTACGCTTAGAAAATAACCACGTTTCACTAAACAAAAGTATTTGTTTGTTTTTTTATCAGCACTACCAGACCAAGAGATTGAACTCACAATCAGAAATTTTTTGTTATATCAACGAACACTCGTTGCCACTTTAGTAATGGCAACGAATACTCATTGCCTTTTTCGTAATGCTCGTTGAAAACGCCTACAAAGGATTAAAAGAAAAGATAAACAAAAGAGGTTAGGCGTGCTGATGCTGACATCTAGAAGGGTATCTCATTTCGTCGTCTCAGCTTAAGGTTTTCCACTGATATGAATTTCCACGCCACAATTTCATCCCTCTGTTAAAACACTTCCCAGCTAATCATTCCAATTCATATCAGTTGAATGAGAGCAAGCAGCGAGTTACTCTTTTTGTGATGTCAACGAATACTCGTTGCCACTGTTGTGATGCCAACGAATACTCCTTGTCACTTTCGTAATGCTCATTGTAGTAGAGACTTTGAAATTGCAGATACAACTATAGTAACGCCGTTGAACAATACTGGTGTCAGACGCCTTCGAATAACACTTTCACGAATAGCACTTGCTCGATAATACTCTCTCGAAGACTAACCACCGAATAGTGATCCGTATAGAGAAATAGTATACAGAATAGAGTAGAAAATAGCGTTCCGTATAGTAATAGAGGATAGAATAGAAATAACGATCATTTAAACGTCACGCGACTTCTTATACATGCGTTTCCTCTATGGTCACATGGTCTACTTAATTCAATATTGGGATCACTTCTGTTTGCTCACTGGCGATCTATGTTCAAACTCAAGTGTCGGCAGCGACACTTTATCCAGACATAACAAGAAGTGAATCCAATGTCTTTCTCAATGCGTTAAACCACTAAGTAATGTGTCTTTTCCTCAAGGTCGTACTGAAATACTTCAGAATTCTTCTGGGTGCCCTGACTTATTTTCGAGTGTCCTTTCTTAATCCGAGGCTCCCGCATAGTGTCTATCTCTATCCTAGGTCTACTGAGGAGGTTATCATTGCCTAACACAGGGGTGTCCAAACTTTCTCAAAGAAGGCCAGATTTGATGAGGTGAATA